CGGGTGATATGCTGTGTGAAATTTCCTCAGCGTTGGCGGTGTGAGCAGAAGCTACGCCTTCGGTTGCTGATCCTGGTTGAGCTTTTTTAGCTGTCAGTACGCCGTGAAGCAATGTAGGCCAATTCGGGACAGTCTTGTATGTATCTGTTTCATAATAGAGGCATTGTCATCCTTTCTAGGGTGATGTCGCAACACCAGTTTTGACCCAAATGGTCTAGGAATTCGTAGCAGAAAAGTAAATCTTGAATAGTTATGGCTATATCCTTTCCTCTACAGATTCCTATGCTTATTTCCGTGTGCTTAACTTCAGTGAGGTATAGCCATGCGAAGAATTGAAGCGAAGTCTTGGAACTTTGGTGGGTGAAGTTCTGTCACACTATTCTCTTCTCCTGTTATGCGTTTCCTAATCTTATTTTTATATAGCTGGAGTTACGACTAAATTTTGTTCATTTAGTTCTGTCTTGGCGTGGACTGGAACTTTTTTTGGAAGATTAGTTTATGTCTGTAGTCAAATTTGGCTCAACGTCATCGCATATTTATTTATTTGCTGAAGCTGGTTGGTTTCTAAAATCAGTGCTTGTTTTCTTGATGCGACTAAAAGCTTGGGTGCTGGATTCGGGAAGATGGCAAATGTCTGTTTGTTTAAGACGTCTTCGAATTGCGGTATGTTCTGCCTGATTATTCGTTGTCACAGTGCCACTGAAAAAATTGCAGCCGCGGAGGTCTGTTACCTGGCTTCCGTTTTCGTTGTATTCTGACAGTGCTTGCAATTATGATATAGGGTTTCTTTCTTCCTCTTTCAGCTGGATACTTACGCCTTGGCCGTGGAATTCGTAGTGATAACGGAAGATCAACCTCAATTTTCAGCAAAACTGTTTGCGTCCCCGTTGTCCTGTTAAATAAAACATTAATAAATCGCCCTTCTTAGTTTAGGTTTGACTGCATCAAAAGTTGCAAAATGGATGGTAGAATCACATGTACCCTTTTAGCAAATCTTGTTCAACATGAAAGACGGAGGTATGAAGTTGCTGTGCTGGTCGATTTTGTGTATTTGATTTATTATCTGTGCGCTGCTGTGCTTCATGACGGACATCGATGTACGTTCCACGCGTTCGTTGGTTCTTTTTGATCGTTCAGGCTCTGATTACTGGATTTTAACAAGTTCTCAATGTGGTGAAATTGCCATTCATAGAAGCTCAATCTGGGCGCTTTACCAAATCCACCTTTCTGTATTACTGATAGTTCCGTTCTTAGTTTGTACCACAAACTTTCTTGACAAACCCATCTGTGGTCAGTCTTAGCTCCCGTTTGTTTTGTCGTTGATATAAATCCTTCATTTTCTTCCAACGCTTGATAGACCTTGTGGTTTCTCGCTTTCCTCTTTCAACGTTTTCAATCTTGATAGTGTGGCGGCGCTTTGTTGTGACGTACTTGCGCTTACCGAGTGCATTTATTCGAGCTTACTTTCCTGCTGCAGATACTTAGTTTGTGATACAATTTCATCCTGTCCAACTCAACCATCTAAGTGAATTAATGTCCTCGTAGTTTCATCAAAAATAGATACCATTGGCTCAGTGTCGTGGACTGATTTGACGCACTAATGAATTACCCCAAATTGCTGTGGTGCACTCGCGTTTTAATCAGTTGGTTATTTGCATCTCTCAAGAATGAGATAGGCAAATTCAAGTTCCTTGTTGCCCCTTGAACGCGTTTGACAATTTTCCCTGAGCTTCCTTGCTTCACAATCCGGTTTGTAGTAATGTCTTTGAGTCATTCTCGAGGGGCGTAAATCTGGCCCATGCTTGTATCTGTGAGCATCTTGTGTTTCATTCAGAGCTTTACAGTTTCCGATGAGGAGATTCATCGACATTGGAGCAAATCTGACGGATAGCATGTTTTCCGGAATGTACAACGGGTCTCGGAAACATGCACCAGACATTGACCAAGTGCTATCGCGTGCTTTCAATCACGGGATAGAGAAAATAATAGTCACTGCCGGTTAGCGCTCCCCTTTATTTCTTACATAAGTAGGATGTAAGCAAGATATAGTAAGCGCTAGGGCGCTTTGCTGTGTTGACACACGTCTCTATTACACGGTCGGATGTCACCCAACAAGGTGCGGGGAATTCGCCGCAGATCCAGACCAATACTATGCGGATCTTATGAACTATATTTCTGAAGGCGGGTCTCGCGTAGTTGCTGTCGGCGAATGCGGTCTGGATTATGACAGGTAGTTTCACCTTCATTTTAAGTTTATGTATAGGGTCCATTTTTGCCCCAAAAATACTCAGTTATCGTGCTTTCAACGACAGTTGGATCTTGCCTCTGAAACCAGACTCCCCCTATTTCTACATTGTCGCAACGCCTTTGAAGATCTTATCAATAGTATTCAACGACACATCGAGCGATTCGGTCCCATCCGTGGGGTGGTGCATACCTTTGACGGAACTGAAGAACAAGCGAAAGCTATAATTAATCTTGGCTTTTATATTGGGCTTAATGGCTGCAGTCTGAAAACCAAACGCAATTTGGAGGTACATATATGATTTCCAGATAGGTTGATCTATTTCTAAATTGTGTTACTCAAGCATATTTTGCGATCTCTGGTTCCAGGTTGTTGCATCACTTCCTTCTGAGAAGATTTTGTTGGAAACAGATGCTCCTTGGTGCGAGATTCGGCCCACCCACGCTGGATTCCAGCACGTGGTGACAAGGTTTGCGAAAAAAAAACCCAGCAAATGGGAATCTGGTTACATGGTTACTGGACGGAATGAGCCAGCCAATATCATACAAGTCTTAGAGGTGGTGGCGGGTGTCAGAGGGCAGCCGCTGGAAGATCTGGCTCATGTAGCCTACGAAAATTCTCTGAGCGTCTTCTCGGGCCTATTAAACAGTCGGTAAAACATTCCTAAGCCGTCTTTTAATGAATTTGTTCGTACCTCATTCCTCATTTTTATTCTTGACGGTGGGGCAATGGTAGACTAGGTCTAAAAATTGTCACTGTCTGGACATAAAAACTCGAGGTTGTCATTGAAAGTAATACAACGTTTGGCGGAAAGAACCTTCCCCCAGTC